TTAAATGTTTTTCTTCGAAAAATAAATAAAAAAAAAAGAAGAATTTCATAAAAAGAAATTCTTTTAAATAAAATTTTCTAATATTTAAAATATATTTCATTTGCTAGTATCATTCATATTTATTTCATAAAATAATTATTTTCACGGAACTATTAAATTTATTTATACAAATTCTCTTTATCAATAGTAACATAAAAAGATTGTTTAATTCATTGATGAACATATCTTATCAGAAAATTGAATGTTGATCTATAGTTCTAGTTATAGGAATAAACGGAATGTTTTTGCTTCTTACATGCATTCTTTTAAAAAGGAAGGAGAACTTGTTGTTTTTCATAATGATTTTTTTGTTTATTCGATTTCTATAATGTAAAATATGAAACTATTCAGTTTTATTTAGAATAGATCTTGTTTTTTGTGTATTCAGTCATTTGAAAAGATGGTCAATCATTTCAATATGATGTTGTCATATGGATTCATTCACAAACTGAACTTTGATCAATGAAGAAAAAGTTTAGTCTATACCATTAGAATTATATCGAATCATTCAATTTCAGTTAAATTACTTGAAATTATCTTTTTTTTTCTTCACTTATTTCCCGACGATATTGAAAATCAGTCTTTAATTTTATTTGAGTAATACAGAAGAATGTTCGAGCTAATCTTAATAATTAATATTATCATGGCAAGTTACTAGTAACTAATAATTTGTGAAATTATCAACAAAAGAATATTTTCCAAAATAATTTATACTTTGTATAGTTTTATGAAAGATTTTCGATTAGATTCGATCAATTCAAATCTATAATTAGTTTCTCGGATTTGTTTACTTGATTTCTCGGTATAACAAAACCTGTTTTAGGACACTTAAAAGATATTATTAATTTCAGCGTCCTGAATATTTTTGATCAAAACTTATATTGTCATACATAATACTATTAAAATGTTATTCAATTCAGATAGATCTTTCTTCATTGAGTTCAATAATTTATTTATTAAGATAACCATAGACATGTTAAAGAAAATTTCATCCAATTCGATCTTACCATTCATCACATCAAAGACAATCGATGAGTCAAGTGATGAGAAAAACAACTAGAATATATATTTAGATAAGGACAAGCATTATTACTCTATCCATATTAGCTTAGTCATGTGAATATCCTATTAAGAATAAATAAACATTAATAATGTATCAATGACGAGATTCTATTCTTATTTAATCTCATCGGAGGATAATATACACGTTTAAATAAATGTATTCAGTTATTGTTGTTTGTCTAAGAATAAAATATTTAAGTCACAATCGATTAAAATAAGTTGATCAGCAATAAATCTATCTATGATATTTTTATAAGTTTCAATGATAAATTTAATAGATATTTTATCACAAATTATATATGCTATCGCATAAAGAGACATTTGAACCTCATTGATTATATGTTCATCCTGCTAATAAATCTCAGCTATCATTTGTATCATATTCTTTGATCGATCAATTCGAAAGAATTACCTTCTCTATTGTTAACTTTATTGGAATAAAAGACATGTATCTTCATAAACTTTATATGATTTTATTTGAAAATAATATGATACACCAGTCAATAGATCATAACCATTTCGACAAGAATATAGAAAAAGTCATTTAGATGTAATACATTTTTATAGATTGACTTTGTTACCTAACAATACCAAATGTATTCAAGTAGATGACATCATATTTTCTTCGATGGTAAGTAATTCATATAGATAACCAGGCAAAGTAAAAATAAAAACGAATATAATAAAATATTTTTCATATCTGTCGATAAAGATCGTTCGTTCATCCGTGTAATGTTTGGCATTTACGAAAAAATCGATCATAATAAAGATATAATTGTCAATATTTTGACTTATGTTTTTCATTGCTCATGGATTAGACAACATATTTGAATTTTTTCGATAGACGTTTTATCAAAAGAATTTTCCATAGTAGAACAATCAGAAGTTCCCAACCAATGAGTTTTGTATCAAAAGATAATTTGAAAAACAAATTTCACTCGTCGTGGACAATGATCAATACTCATCATTAATGTGCACAAATTCTTTTTTTTCAAGAATAAAAACACCGTTTTTAGCGATTATTGTTTTTGGACTGATAATCACGGAAAAAATAAATAAAAGAAAAGTTCACTACTACGAAAAAATTAAGCACATGAAAAAAAGCAAGGCAAATCTGATGTCTGTTGAAAAATTAATCAATCTATCTATGATCGAAACAAATAAGAAAATTTTCCTTGGGATTCAAATCGATTCGATCTACCTTTAAAAAATTAAATTCGATATAAAATCATTCGAGTTGTATCAAACTATTCGTCTATTCGATTCATTTTTCGTCTCTTAAATATATTTGTTAATCATAATGAAATATTAAAATCTTAATAATAAGGTACAAGTAACGCGACTCAAACGTCGCTGACCCTCCACTGAAAGGATGCGATGTTGTTGAGCGCATCGTATTCGTTCTAGGAACTATGAGCCCTAGTATCTTCATATATACTTAAAGGAACAAAATTAAAGGAATAGTATATGGAGGGTGTGGGGTGTGGGTTGAGAGAAGATGAACTCATACCCACACCCAGCCATACGACCTTCAACACTATAATACGTTAATTGACTACGACTAATAACAGGTTAAATGTTATTTTTGGAAATTTTTTAAATAACAAAACTTACGCATGTGTATGAACAGAAAGTCTATCTAAATAATACTTTTTAAATTTTCTTAGACTAGCAACAAGTGTTTTTGGAGAAGGTGGATTTTCATCTGTACCACCATCAACAGTAAAAAATAACAACTGGTTTTACTTGTGCTGCTCCATTGTGTGCAACTTTTTCAAATTAAAAAGACGATCAAAATTTACTGCATGTGATTTAGCATTTGATTGATCATATTTATCTGAACATGTCACAATATATGTTCAACCTGAATAACCTAAACCATCATCTTCAGATAAAACATATGCTGTATAAACACTTGGTGTAAGTTTATGTCTTGATATGACTGTTCAATCGTGATCGAGTTAATATATATGATGATCCAAATGCATTAACATTGATAAATAAATATGAGCTACTAGTATATTAAGGAGAATTCTATATTTATCATCTTGTCATAAATAAAATACACAACCATTTCCAAAAAATGATGTAAAATCTTTCATATAACGAATAGTTGCTGTTGCAAAATGTTCATCATTTTGTGCACGATGAAGACGAACTGGAACAATTTGATTATGTCGATGATCTTCTATTGATGATATACGATAAGGGAAAAGACTAAAAATAACATTCTTTGTTTTGTTTTTTTGAATCAAAAGAATCTATCTTTTATCGATAATAAAGTATTGCTCATTTAAATTTGATACTAACATCATGTTGTTTTATGTTTTTCACGTAAATCATTTAATATTAAACAAGAACGAATGGTTTCTGAATGTCGTCGATCATCACCAGCATGACCAACTTTATCAATTTCTTTAATAATTTTTAATAAATCGAGACATTGTCCTTTAACAGATGGTCGACTATCACCATGATGATGAAGTTTATTTAATTGTGCATTTAATTAAGGCTTTGTTTCTAAGAAATAGTCAATCTAAAAAAAAAGAAAAGAATATTTAGTTATTTGAGATTTGTTTTTGTTTATTCCAAGGTTTATTGGATACAATTTGTCTTGATTAACGATTTTTTAAATTGATAAACCTTCTTTTTTCGTCGATTCAAGCATTACTTGTTTTTTGGAGTGTGGGTGTTGGGTATCGGCGTGAAGAAACGGTTCAGACTTTTCTCACATCTATGCCCACATCCCACACACCCACCCACACCCACACCCTCGACATGAAATTTGCTATATTTGTTCATCAAATAGATCATCACGATTTTATAAATATTTAGCGTATAGTTAGGTTAAATGAACTATTAATTTATATGAAAAAAATCTATTATAAGATTAAATTAACATTATCACCAATATTATTTTGTTCGAATTTGAAAAACTAATATATTTATAAAGTAATTTATCAGATTATAAACAATTGATTATTGATAATTCTCATCAGAAATTTTAACAATAAACATAGTTAACTGTTTGATACGATCATCAAGTAAAGTGCTACAATTTTCAAAAACGATTTACACAAATAGATAATTTGTAAATAGTTGAAGAAGAAGAGTAAGCTGTCAAAGGTAAATTACGAAATGATAAAAGTACACATGATCTAGTAAAAGATAGATGTTTTAGATTTTTGAAAAATTTAACTATATATTTGTGTACATAAGATCTCGAATTTGTTTTTCAAGTATCTTGTGAAATGGTGACTTGACTAAATTAAGAGAAATAATTAAATACCATGTAGAATATACAACGTGTCTATCAAACTCTGTGTTCATATTAGTAGAAGAATGTTTTACCTGTAAAATATTTTGAAGCAGTTTTGTTATTGAAATTGAAGAATTTAAGTACAACTAGATTAGGATAATCAGCAGCAAGAAGAATACGTTCCATAGATTCCGATTCAACAATAAGAGATTTAATATTAAGAGCAATTTTTGACAAAGTATTTATACGAAATCGATCAAGTTTACAATCATCAATCAACAATACATTATTAGTTACCATTGTCAATACAAAATTGAGACTTGTAATAAACTTTTGATCTTTTACTATCATATTAAGTTGTTGATTTTCAATATCCAATAATGAATAAAGAACATCCATAATGTCAAATCTCATCAATATGTTAAATAATATTTCATTAGGTAGATCAAGAAATGTGGCATTTGACTGATTTATATTCATTGGTATTTCGTTCTATCAATTATGTTTATTGAATAGAATGAATAAATGATGACCTCGTCAGAAACAAAAAAATATCATCGATAAATAATTCACTGAACTCATCGATGAACATCGATGCTTTTTTTCCCTCGATAGCTTACGTGTGTAGTATAAATACATACTGGTCCTCAGTCACATTCTAATTCGTGTGTTTAATAGTGATTATTTGATTTGATAATTTCTTCAAAATAATTATTAAGCAAGAAGATATTTTAAATAAGTCAACGCATCATTTCTATCTATATTAGTTTGGATAAACTTGTTCCTATTTTATCAATAATAACCTTTAATTTTGACTAAGGTACACTGAGAGAAAAGTAGCATCAATTCAATTCATTTCACACACTGATGATTTCGTTTTGTAACATGTTACTAATCTCTTCTTATATCATAAATCGTGAGGTTATTCACTGTAAATGAAAATTAAAAAAAATAATAGAAAAGCGATTTAGACTTTTTACAATATTTTTTATTAATGAATGATGTTAAATATTTATCGAGATACTAGTCATGAATTATAGCAATTGATCAGAAAATGAATATCAGTAGTAATTATATTAAGCTTATTTTAGTAAATTAATATATATCTACTGACGAATTGTTTACATTTGTAATTGATATAAACGACAAAGTCTGTGAACAGTCTTTACATTGAAAATACATTAAATAAAATATACATCAGTTCATTCATGTGAATACCAGTGAATAAACCAAAAGATCAATTGAGTATTTAGATCGTTGTGTATACAATTTAATGATCTATTAGTTTATGAAATATTTTACAAGATATTTTTCCTTCGTTTAACCAAATATTGTAGTTAACTACCGAAAGGAGTGACGAGTACGTATATAATCGTAATTTGCCTCAAAGAACTTTTTTAAATCAAAGTTCTAAATAGTCTTATATGAAATCAAGAATTAAGAAGTAATGTGTATCGACTGTTGATACAACTTATCCTAGACGAACAGAATTGAATTATCCATTTAGATATATCTATTGTCCGTTTCAAAATAAAAGGTACCTGGTCATTCTTTGAATAACTTCCACTAGGTGCAAGATATCTACCTGCGGTTTTCACCATTCGAAAGAGCAGAATATGAGTATTCATCTAACGAAGTGTCATACTCACACTCGCACCCATCGTTGACTAAATAATGATGTTAAAATTTTCGAGATTTTATAATTATTTCGACATTGAGGAATTATTTCATAGGGTCATATTCATATATTTGACAAGGTCACCTAGTCTATTTCCAATGAAATGTTAATAGATTAGCAAATTTGTTAGGTTTGCGGAATCATGGTAGCATAAAATGGGTAAGCTAAACATATAAAAAAAAGTCTATTGAAATATATACTAACTGAAAGTTACACTAATTTTCAAGAAAATGATTAATGATTTTAATTGCAAACTGATCAAAACAAAATCTAAATATAGGTCGATAACAAGTATATCATAAGAGCGATAAATAATTATGAGAATTATAAACGAGATAAAACTCTTTTTTTTCACCATTCGAACAATATGGTTTTTCTTTTTTTGAATAAAACTTATCTCTATTATTAATTTTGAGTCAAATTGAAAGTTTATGATTTGTCTTATTTCAACATATAAATCGCCAAAAATATGTCATAAAAAAAGATAATCTGTCTAATACTAATTTATAAGTGTTAATAAAAATACAAGCAACATGTATTGACCACTTTTCAATATTTTCTAAATAGAAATTGATCAGTAATCTATATAAATATCTTGCACGAGTATAAGTTAATGATCTTGGCAAAGATTTAAATAGATGAAAAAGTTGAATCAATTTGTTAGATAATCGAATTTGAATAAAATTGTTTATTGTAACATAATTGTGTTATAAAATAAATATTCGATAAAATAAAGAAAAAGAAAATTTTCAATAATTTCTTAATAATTTTTAATCATAATATGAGCATCAAACATTATTTTTTTCCCCAGATAATTAATGTAAAATAGTTTCTATTTTTTTCTAAATTAATTTATTCATTATGATTGTCATCAATAAAAAATTTTTAATTTTCGATTTTTTCTCTCTAATCGAAATTTTGTTGGAAGATAGAATTGTTTCTTTTTCAAACTAAATGTGATATATTTTTATCACAAGTTCATAAATAATATAACAAAAAGGATAAGTACCGTTAAAATAAAGTTGCACCTTTCGTAAGATTCAAAAAGAGGTACGAAATGTTGATTCCATATCTTTATGATAAGTGTGTTTTGAAAAATACATTTTTAATCAGTTGATAGGATATTATTCGTCTTGGGAACAATTTGTAAGACATTCGGAAATAAAACGAGACTAAAAGAAATTGAAATATTTGGCCAATAAATGATGTAATTTTTATACGAACTCGTCAAAAACATGATGTAAAACGATGGTTGATTCTATTTTTGGAGATTCATTGAAAAGATCTTTTGAAAATGGTGATTAGTTTGATTTTTTGTAAACTTGTGAAAACAATTTTGTAAAAGTATCATTTATCAAAATTAATTGTCGTCTACTCAAATTAAAAAAGTAGATATATGATCTTGGAAGATCGGATGAAATCATACAAAAAAGAATTCTGGTTTCAGAAATTTTACATCGATTCGCTCTAGAAGATTATTGTCAAGTTTGATCATATCATAAGATTTTTTTATAATCGTATTGTACTATCTTACAGAAAAGTAAGATCTTTCAGGTATTTTCTGTTACCATTCGATATAAGAATTTGAGAATATGACTTTTGGTACGATTTAATTTCATCCTACATTTGATTTTTTGACTTGAGATCAAAATTTTCTTGTACTAATATTTTCTCATTTCTCGTTTCATCTATCTTACGATTATTTGACAAATACAAGTTGTATACTATTGCACTGACGAGAAAGTTTCTTATCCACTGATGAAAAAATACTCTTTTCAGAATATTTTTATTGAAGAGACTTCATTTTGTTGTTACACTGCTTTGTTTATGAATATAAAACAAAAATAATTTACATATGATTCGAATAATGAAAGTGTTTCCTATCTTCTTGCCAATATTGATTTTCTTTCAGCAACTCCCTATTGCTGAGTCATAAGAGTCAACATTTATCCCATTTCCTTTGTATCTGATGCTATATTAAAAGCTGTAGCTTAAAGTTCTAAAAATGGTGTTTTCAATTTAAAATAAATAAATAATGAGAAATCTAAATGGAATTCTCAATTAATTTAATTATTCATGAAATTTAAATGATTTTTATTAAAATTGCGATAGCTAATATATTGAATTATAGAATTATGAAACTAAATACTTATGAAATGAAAATGTCGAAAAAATATCAAAACAAAAACCAACGACTAGTTATTATTTGATTAATTTGATACATTAAATTCAACATAAGATAAATTCATATGATAAGTAAGAAATATATTCTAAATTGTTATTAGTTTCTATGAAGGTTTTTTAATTGGTTTCCATATCGGTCAGTTAGTATGTCAGATTAGATCATTAGCCAAATAAATAGTTCTCACTTTTTTTCGACTTAATAAACAATAAACAAAACGCTTTAGTTATAAGAAATTTACTACATTTGAATAATATTTCAAATGATAATTGTCAAGTTTTACTAATAATAACAATGAATTCTGATAATATATTATACTTGTTTTATAATAATATATTAAGATCCTCTCAGCATTAATTTCTCAACAAAATGATCAGAAACAATCGGTACTAATGAAAAAGACTTGTAGTAAAAATCTCAGCATGATATGCCTAATTAGATCGAATTTCTGGCTTGTTTTCCTACTGTCGAAGAAAATTGAAAGAACTCCATCGTTATAAAGAGTACAGAGTTTGGACTGCATTCAAACTAAACTAGCTTTTGTGTGCAATTTTTCATCGGACGGAATTTTTGAAATTTCCTTCTATTCAATTATTACAAACATTTTAATGGACATGTTGTTCAATATAAGCATAACAAAGCAATTAAATATGAAAGTTAGCTCTGTTCCGAGCCGGATAGAATTTATTTCAATTTGTTGCCGAGAAACCAAGTTTTGGGAAAAACACTTAAAAACTTTAAGAAAAAATTTCTTCATCTGAATCTGGAGAAAAAACCATTCTAGAACGGTACATTCACAATACGTTTGTTGACATTGGTAGATTATCTTTCTGATTATTTAAATAATTTTCATTTGACTAAATGTTGGTTTTTTATTTATTTTTGTTTAAAATGCTGTGACGTGTCGTTTCTAGTTTACAACTTCATCAGTTGTAAAAATTTATAAGATTTTTTCCGGATAATTGTAATTGATAAAAGCAAACCTTAAATAGTTGAATATAGTTTAACTCAATCTCGACATAAAAATTCAATTAATTTCGATTGAAACATTTCAACATTAAATTTTTATTTGATTTTAACTAAATAAATCTTAAAGGTTGATTATCAATTTAAATTTATTTTAATTATTTATCAGAAATATTTCTACAAAAACTAATCAACTCATCGAAATCAAATTGGTTAATATTACATAAATACATAAAAAATAGGGTGTGGGTGTAGCTAGAAAATAGAATACCCACACACCCACCCTTCAGACTTGTTTGCTGTTGCTATCCATACTTACAGATATGATAACTTCATTCGGATAAACCAGAAGATTTGATGCTTGCCTTTCAAGAGAGAAACTAATCGAAAGATCTGAAATATTTACAGAATACTATTCTCGATAAGTTCTGTTTCTACATAAAGTTCCAAGTAGAAATTTAAAAATTACTTTTTCCGATACTCCTGAGAGGGAATACGGCATTCATTTAAAAACATACCGTAAAAATGCAATATCTTCGTACGAACAAGCTATCAGTCCGAACTTTCTTCAAA